CACTGGAGAGAAAAGAAAAGAAAGGATTATGAGAGAAAAGAAAAGAAAAGAAAGGGAAGGAAATGTTTATATTCATGTTTGGATAGATAGGAGAGAAAAGAAAAGAATTGATAATATTGTTGTTTGGATAACAAAAAGGAGAGAAAAGAAAAGAATTGATAATAATAAAATTACTATCTTACCCTTTACCCTTTTTGGTAGGGTTAGAACACAAAATCATTTCAGCCTCCTCCATCTATCTATTCCCGATCTCACAGATCCCTCCGTCTCTCTCTCTCTCTCTCTCCAACTACAAAATCTACAAAAATAGTCAAAAACCCATATCAGCTCTCTCTCTCTCTTCAACTGCCAACTACAAAATCTACCAAAATTAGTAGATCAAAACCCATCTGCTCTCTCTCTCTCTCCCCAGCTGCAAACTACAAAATCTACAAAAATAGAAGGTCAAAACCCATATCGGCTGTCTCTCTCTCCAACTGCCAACTACAAAATCTACAAAATCTACCAAAATCAAAAGACGATCTCTGCAACAGACGATCTCTGCAACTTCCAGCGAATTTTCCGGCGTTCTCTGCAACTTCCGGCGAATTTTCAAACGATTTCTGCAACTTCCGGCGACTTTTCCGACGATTTCTGCAACTTCCGGCGAGTTTCCGACAGTCTCTGCAACTTTCGACGAATTTTCCGATGATCTTTGCAACTTCCGGCGACTTTTCCGGATGGGCTCTAAAGGTCATTAGCTCCCTTTCTCTCCAAATCCCTCCAAATCCCTCCAAATCTTGTCAATTTTGGAGGGATTTGGTTTTACTGTTTAGGAGAGATTTGGAGGGATAGGCTATCCCTCCAAATCCTTCCCAATCCTTTCTTTTCTCTCCAAAACCCTCCATCCAAACACACCTATCCCTATCCTTCCCTTTCTTTTCTCTCCAAAACCCTCCAAATCCCTCAATCCAAACGAGGCCTTAGAAAAATAGGAGTCTGAAATTGTTAGGTCATTGGCCATTAGTGTTTGTAATTTTTATTATCATTAAGCTCTCTTTGTTTCGACATAAGAAATATTTTTTAATTAAAATATTTTTTTATTTTTATTTTTGTCGGTGTTTGATTGTCTATGTCAAGATTGAGGCCGAATCTATTAGACGGGGCATATAAAATAGTCCTACTAAAATTTGGGAGCGGGCTTGTAATAAAAAGGAAATAAATAAGCCCTCTTCTAAAATTTGGAAGGGAACTTGTCCAAAATTGATGGATAAATTATTTTTTGTTAAGTTTTAATATTTTTTTTTTTTGTAAATATTTTTCAAAAACCAAACAGCAAAAATAAAAAAAATATTTTTTGAAAAATATTTTGCGTTCAAACAAACGGAGCCTCAACGTTAAATAGTTTTATCTCTATGTCTTATTTATTTATTTTGTAAATATGCTAGTTTAAACTATTCTTTTAAGAAAAGAAGTGATGAAGTTGTTACCATGGTTGAAATATAAATAATTATTTTTCATTTCTTGTATGATTTTTTTTCTCTAAATGGTATTCTTTATAAATTTTAGGCTCTGTTTGTTTCGACGTGAAATATTCTTTTTGGAAACTATTTTTTTTCACGTAAAATATTCTTTTAATTTTACTTTGTCAGTGTTTGACAAAGATTTACGTCAGGGTTGGGGTTGAGTCTATTGGACGAGGCATGTAAAATAACTTGCCGAAAATTGATGGATAAGTTATTTTTTTTAAATTTTAATATATATATATATATATATATATATATATATTTCATAAATATTTTATGATAACTAAACATCAAAAAATTAAAAAAATATTTTCTAAAAAATATTTTACGGTCGAACCAAACAGAACCTTAATGACAAAAATGTCAAAATATAGAGGGAGGATTCTTTGTGTTTGTCAAATAATTATAATTCAGGTAATGTCTATCACTATTTACTTTTTAAAAAAAAATAATTGAAGGATTTTGTGTGTTCGACAAATAATGATAATTCGGAGAATGCTTGTCACAATTTATTTCTCTAATAATAGATAGTTGTATAAATTTTACAAAAATATCTCTCCTAAATATCCAAGTTATTTGAGGGCCACATTTTCGTTTATCTTTTTAAGTTCTAGTTGAACTGATGAAACATTTTATTTATTCGAAGAAAATTTATATAAGAAAAGTAGATTATTTATTTATATGGATCCGTGGTGGTAGATTCTCTTCTCCATAACTTGATTAAATTTATTTAGTAGTAATTTTATTTGATTCATTAGTGACAAAAGAAAAAAAAAAAATTTTATTTTAAAATTTCTAAAACGAAATCTCACTTAAAATTTGGTTCGACCCTACTTATCACTATACATTTTTAGCTAAGAGATTGTACAAAATTTATTTTTATATGGATAATTAACGATAAAATATTCAAAATACTTCTTTAATTAAGTGATTGTAAAAAATTTATTTTTGTACGGAGTATATAAGCAACGATAAAATATTCAAAAGACCATGAAATTGCTGAAGTAGAAATTCATGTTATGGTTAGCCCCCTTTTCTCTGTCGAGGCTCATACGGTTGAAAGCAATTACAATTCCTTAGTGCAGTTAAAAATTTCTTAGTGCATTAAAATTTAAATTTCCTATTTGAATTTAAATTTTACTTATTTGATATTATCTTCAAAAACAAGACTTCTCCAAAAAGCACACGTGTGTCTTTAATATATTTTTGTGGAAAATGATTCTTGTACGGAATAACTGCAGTGAATTGTTAGACTTACTCTTTTAATTGGTCGATTATGCAACAATTAAAGAAATAGAGTTATCCACTTAGTTATATTTAGTATAAATAGCTAATTAAAAATTATTCCATTAGACAATTCATTGTAAGTGTTCAGTGTGAGTATCACTATTCTATTATTTTTTTTTTACCGAAGTTTGCATGTAGAAACAAGTTCTCTTAATGATGTAGAATCTTGATAACATCTTCTGTTAGTATCTTCCCACTTAATCTGCACCTACGTCTCCTTGGCTCCATTTACATGGTTATCTTGCATTTCTAAATCGATTGAATCTAATTAAATGAATGAAAAATAGAAGGTAACAGCCTAATGTGGCATAAATAATGTGGAATAGATAATGAGATTATCATGTATTGTTTTTAAAATATAACGATCCAACGATTACCTATCGAATTATGATTCTTGTATTTGTCAAGTTTTTATCTGAATAATGTATAGTTGTCATGTTAGTTGATTTTATTTTATTTTTTATGCTAACTTGTGATTTTGAGAAACTGAAAAAAAAAAAGAAAAAAGAAAATTTAAAGATAGAAAACCTCCCGATTGTTTCGTACCACATGACCAAAAAAGCATCTATTTTGAGTTTGATCATTTTCCAATGGGCTATTTCATTTGAATTTTCGAGGGCTTAGATTGATACAAATTGGACCTAATTGCAGGCTTAACTTGGATGTTCACACTTGGTGGACTTCGCGGATCGGGCCAGAATAATAACTTGGGCCTTTCACCAGTCCCCAACCCATTCCATCTTGCCCCATGGGTCGGCAAGCATATGACGTTGGGCTGTGGGGTTATTGATGAATCTATTTGGAGGGAACGAGGGTAGTGTCATCTTCAGCTACCCCACAAGAGAAACAGGAAAATAACACACGAATGCTTTTAGCTAATGGTATCTCTTCCTCCTCTGTAGGAGTACAGACGTCCATGGAGCGGATATAGCATACTAAGCGTCTGTTTGGTTAATGTTTTTATTTCTTGTTTTTGTTTTTACTAGTGTACTGTAGTAAAGCAAAAGCATGAAGTATGTTTGGTAATGTTTATTATCATTTGAATAGTACCGAAGTGCTTCTAAAATTAAAATTAAAATCAGAAGCATCAAAATGATGATTTTGTTTGTTTCCGCAATGTTCAATTTTTATTTTTATTTTTTTCATTCTAAATTAACATTTTTAACTAACTATTCAAATTTTCAAACTTAACTACACTTTTTACTAAACATGCTTTTATGTTTTTGCTTTCAAAAATTTTATAACAAATTTACGTTACCAAACAAGTTTCGAAATAGTGTTAAACACACTCTAAAGCGAAAACATTGCTTCTGTTTCGGGTCAAAGTAAAAACACAAAATAACTATGGTTAACGAACGGGCTCTAAGTCTCTACTCTAAGGCCCAACGGAAAGAAACCCTTGCATCATAGGGTGGGTGGTCCATGATTAAGGTCCAGAAAACATTCAAAACAAAGTCCAATCCAAAGAAAACCAAAACAGAAGCCCAAACTAATTTAGTTAACTACCGAACATTCACAACTGACAGTGTCCTCCCAATAGAAAAGTGGCTTAATTTCTCTTTGTTGAATCCGATCTTCTTTCCACCGACGACTTTCATGAAACTGGAATTTGCTCCGGTGGACGGAATTGTGATGAAGGAAATGAGGATGCAAATAGTTAAGAAGTGGGAAAGTAGGTACTGAAGAACTCTAGCCATAGAGACTGGTGTGTCACTACTATGTTGTGTCTGTAATCTTTATATGTACACCTATATATAGCAAATATGTATGTAACAAGGTAGGACCCACTATAAGAATTGGAGTTATGAATTCAAGAATTGTCAATGGGGTTAGATTAATATTTTTTAGGTAGGCTAATACTAATAATAATAATAATTATTATTATTTTTTTTTGCATGCACATTCGATCAGGCAATCAGAATGAGTGTGACTCACAATGAAAGTTTTAGCAAATTGGACATGTCAATTTGCTAATTCTCTACTTAGACATGTCAATGGATTGGGTATAGCACAAAACCTTTTTATTCCAAATTGTCTTACAAAGAAAAATCAATTCTCAAGCCTAGCTAACCCACATCGACTTGTCTCATTCCGAACTTGGTTTAGCTCAAAAGCAAGGCATATAGTCTATGAAGACATATTTCTAGGTGAATTGCTCTAATAGTATATGCATTCAATGTTAAAAGGATCTCGTAACCTAATGGTACACCTCTAAAATAAAATGTTGAGAGTTCAAGTCTATCGTAGGAGCAAAAGTGAGTGTAAACATATTTCTTATCCAGGTAAAAAAAAATAAAAAAGATCACCGCGTATGTCTAAATTAAATTCACAAAAATATTTTTAGCTCAAAAGCAAGATTTATAAAAAGTGACCAACAGTAATAATTCATTATTGAATTTTTTTTTTGTTCTTCTCTACCAGTCTCAAAACTTTGACTCCGAACTTGGAACTTAAAATCTAAAGTCACTCAGAAAAAAGTAGATTGGTATTATTAAAAGTTTTCATTTGTACACGAAGAAAAAACAGGCCAGACATCAATAATGCAACACACAAACATTATACTCAACAGTGGCATCACCTGATGTCATGTTAAACTTGTAAGTCTTGGCTTGAACATAACCGCTAGCAAATCGAAAAAGACCACTTCCTCCGATCACCGGCATCTCTCTAACCTTATCCCGTACCGGGTTCCTTCCTAGCACGGTGATCGTGCTTCCCTTATACTTGCCTTCAATAAACGCGAAGTTCATAGCCATTAATAGACTAACTACTTGTTGTGACGCCAAAGTATACAACCCTTGTGCCCTACCAATTATTTTCGAGCTCAATTGGGGCCCTTCGGTCAATGGATCATCGATTACAACAATCCGCCCAAAAGACGTGCGCGATGTGTTGGAGGGTGCCTGCACCACGGTGGCTGCACTAGGATTTTTGCCGGTGAAGATATCATGCCAAAAGAAGCGAAGGTGGCTTAGTTTTTCTTTCTTGAGCTTGATTTTATTTTCACTAACGACTTTCACGAAGCCATAATTCGATTGGATGGACGGAATTGTGAGGAAGAAAAAAAGAATGGAAGTTGTTAAGAAGTGGGAAATTGGATTTTGAAGAACTCTAGCCATAAAGATTGGTGGGTCACACTAATGGTGGATAAAAATTATATTGCTTTAATTTGGACTATGTTGTGTCTAAAATGCTACAAGGTGTGTCTAAGCTATAATACCATTGACATTATATATAGTTTATCAATTGCTTATGGCACATTCTAATTGAAAAGCCAACAACTACTATCATGATGACTTGGGACCAAAGTGTTAGAAAAAAACGATAGAATTTGAATTTGAATACGAAAATGAAGGATTTCCAATTTCCGTTATTAAACTGCCACGGTTTAGACGTCGTCCTCTTTGGTTTCTTCAAGTTAACTTCACCCTTTAAAATAGAAACCACATGGTGTTCATGGGGCATTGTCAAAAGCTAACTTTTGCCTTTGAAAATAAGAAATCACAGAATCAGAGTGGGGTTGCCATTTCTTAGGTGCACTCCAAGTACAACAATTATACCAGGTGTGGCATTTTGCTGGGCGGGCTGAAGTCTTAGACAACTTAGGCAGATGCCTAAGGTCCCAAATTTTTTAAAAATTTTTTATACTATAATTATTTAAGGGGTGCTAATCATAGTCGCAGGCGCATGCAACTGTGAAATCTCAGTCGTTACTTCAACTGTTGACGCATGTATTTCCTTTTCAGTTAATTAATTACTATTTATCTGCTAACTTCCTTTTGGGTCTCTCATTATGTATAACTATTATACTAGCCTCTTACTCTTAGAAAGAAACCTCCACAGGTTCCATCTAACTCTAAAATTTTCTTTTTTACAAAAGTCTATATCTAAATGTTTGAAGTTAACTCTAAAATTTTCTTTTTTACAAAAGTCTATATCTAAATGTTTGAAGTTCAAATCTGAATTTTTTCAAATCCGTATTCTTTGTATTTGAAGTAATGCACTGATTTTTTAGATTAAAAAAATAAAAAAATCAGGTGAAAAATTACTATAATCTGGTTCTCTCTCTAAAATTTTCTTTTTTTGAAGTTCAAATATGATTTTTTTAGATCCCTATTCTCTATTTCGAATTTTTCGGTTGTTTTTTAGGAGAAAAAAAAAAAAATTCAGATTAAAAAAAAGTATAATCTGGTTTTCTTGTATATGTCCTTTTCTCTCTCTAAAAAAAACTAGCTTTCAGCTTTGATTCTCTTTAGATCTGATTTTTGTATTCGAAGTATAGCTAGTTTTTTGGATCCAAAAGGAAAAAATAAAAATAAAAATAAAAAAACAGATGTAAATTCATGTATCACTTCTTTTCTCTTGGTTATGGTCTCTCTAACTAAACTCTTTTGCATTGCCCAATTTCTGCAGTGTTTTGGTTAAGAACAACGATGCCACAATTGATTTATGTCGAATGCTCCAACTAAAAGTTGATAATCACAACACCTTTTGGTTGTGAATTATTATATTTTTCTTATTTCTTTTTAATGAGCATATTGCGACAACAGATTCTCTCTATATACCAGGGAAGATGATGCAGAAGTATATGGATGGTTTTCCTTTTTGGGGGAAAGGGTAGGAAGACAATAGGGTAATTACAAAAAATAAGAGACCCAATAAAAATTTGATATAGAAATTAACAATTCTTGAAAAAAGAAGATACACGCGCCGGTCGCTAAAGTAGCGAACAGTCGCGCCCGTGTGATTAATTAGCACCCCTCTAATTATTTTTTAATATTATTACTTATTAGTTATTAAGCACCAACTAATACATAAATTTAATATTGAGTTACAAATATTTATATCCTTAAATAACTTCTTCTTCTTCTTCTTCTTCTTCTTTTATTTTATTTTATTATTATTATTTTTTTTTCACTCTCCTCCTCATTCATGTGTTTTTTATACCAAAATTAAAATTTTTTTTTGGTAAGTAACATCGGTAATAATAATTAGACCATCTCCAATGGCATTTTTGCATGTCAAATCTATATTTTGAGAGGAGTTACAGTGTCAAAATACTATATTTTAGCAACTCTGTTCTAATGGTGCATTTTATCCAAAATGCTATTTTTTGACATAACAACCATTTTTTTTTTTTTTTCCAACTACCAATTTTCAATAACCATTTTTTTTTTTTTTTTTTTGTATTTTATTTAGCTTATTTGCCTGATTAAAAATAAATAAAAAATAATAATTATGAAATCCAATGTAAAAAATAAGAATGTAAATTATATAAAAATAAATGGGTAAACTTGTCATTTATATAACAAGCAAATCCTGTCAAAACATAGGGCAAATCATTTCAGCCTCCCCAATCGCCTCCATCTCTTTTCTCGTTCTTGACTCTAAACTTGCCCTCTCTTTGTCTCTCTGCAACTGCAAACTACAAAATCTACAAAAATCAGAAGCTCTTTCTGCAACTGCTAACTTGTATGTATTTGTTTTAAATTTTTTTTCTAAATCAACTAATCAAGGTCTATAATTTTTTATGATCTTTTAAATATATATATATATATATATATATATACAATATAAAGTAACAAAATTTGCATTGCATTTTGAGGTAATCACTGTAATCTACAATTTATTTCAGTAAAACAAATATATATTTTTTATTTCTTTTTTTATACTGGAAATTTATTTTCGTTCACAACTCTATCCACCCCCCCAGCCGTTCACTTCTATTTTTGAAATAGCAGTAGCTATTTGTGGTGCCACATTTGGCACTAGATTTAGCAAAGTTAAAAATTGGCCGCCCATATAGCACACCATTAAAGTTGTCCACCTGCGATATTTTGAAAATGACAGTTCAAATAGCACACCATTAGAGTTGCTTTAGATATGTATATTTTGAAAAAGTGGTGAAACTTTCCATATTCTTTCACTAACTTTTATCATTTATTTATTTATTTATTTATTTTTATTATTTTTTTTCAACCCATCCGAAGATTCTGAGCGCATAAAACAATTTATAGGAGCATTGGATTCAAGTTCTAATTGTTCTTTTACTTAAGGAAAAAGTACAGCAACACCCCATGAGGTTTGTCAAAAGGACATTCAGGTGAAAGTTACTTGTTTTTGGGACAATGACACCTCATTGAAGAATTTCCATCCAAACAAGACCTTAAATCATATGAAAAGATAAAATTGCCCCTTAATATTAAATTTAGATTTATTACAAAATATCATACTTGTCAAAATGACGCAATTGCCCTTGAAAGTTTAGGGCCACAAATTAACGCCACTTGGCACCAGATTAATAACTCGTGAATTGCAAAATATATATATATATTTTTACCAAAATTTTGTTTCTGTTTTATTTACTTCTATTAATTTACAAAAAAGTATATGGCTTTTTTTTTTTTTTTAACAAAAATTTTGTTCCAGTTTTCTTTACTAAAATGGGGTTTTCTTTACAAAAAACTATTGTAAAGAAAAAATGGAGTTTTCTTTATGTGGTTTTCTATATATTGGGTTTTCTTTATTTTCTTCATAAGAAAATTTTGTTCCTATTTTCTTTACTAATGTGTGGTTATTATTATTTTTTAATCAAAATTTTGTTATATATTTTGAAAAATTGTGGCAGAATGAAATTAATATATATATATATATATATATATATATATATATATATTTAACAAATGTGGTTATCAATTTTGTTATTACCGTAAAAACAGAATGAAAAATAACTAAATAACTAAAATAGCAAATCCAATGTGGGCTATGCAGTGAAGTAACTCCCAGTAACATCAATTAGCTCTTGGAAGACATTATTAAGAGGTTGGATAACCCATCAATAATCTCTAACAATTTTTTTTAAGGCAAAATTAAACAACATTAACAGATATAAGTAGCACCCCTATCCCTTTAAGATTGGTCAAACTTTCTTCTTTTGTAAGAAATTGAAAATTTATTACCAACAAAATAAATATACAATTTTGTTATCAATTTTGTTATTTTGAGAAATTGTGGGAGAATGAAAACAACTAAGTTTTTTTTTTTTTTTTTTTTTTTTTATCAAAAATTTTGTTATTAATTCACACATAAGTACTTTCATCCAATTTATTAATTTGTTTCCGGGATGTATATATATATAGTCTAACCAAAAGGCCTGTGCCCTAGCGGTACAAGGCCCCTACTTCTCAAAAGGAGGTCAAGGGTTCGAACCTCAGTGGAGACAGTATGTGTGAGTACCCAACTAGGAATATATATATATATATATATATATATCGCATTGTCGCTATTTGTTCATAAGGGATAGTTTCGTCCAATTTATTAACTTGTAAAGTTAAAAAGGTTAACTAAATGGTCAAAGGGCAATTTGGTCAATTTTTCATGCCAGTTGGTCTCAAGGGGTGCCTTTATCCACTTTTCAATCTTGAAGGGGTGTCATTGTCTCAAAAATAGGTAACTTTCATTTGAGTGTCCTTTTGGCAAATCTCGAGGGTGTGTACTTTATCCTTTACGTATTTATATTTTAATTTGATTAATTTTTGTTATTATGAAATTGTATATTTTGTTGGGAAAATTTAAAACTTCACCACTTAATTTTGTATATTTTAAAAAATATTAACTTTCTCAAACTAATAGGTTTAACTACTAACTTTTTGAAATTAATTACAAACTATACTAAAACACTATTTATATTTTTTTACGATCCAAAATACCCTTTTAGCAGGTAACTATTGCTATCTGTCTTTCTCAATCTAGATGGAACTCTTATTATTCAATCTCATATCTAGAGAGTTTCATTTCTAAAACGCCTTTATTAGCTTTTAATCCAAAACACCCTTCTGGATTTTTGATCTTTGTGCAAGCCTTCTGTTTAAATGACATCCCCAAATGACCAAAAATTATGCTTCGCATGTTTCACATTCACTACAATGAGAACTATAGAACAATGCAATAGTTTTTTCATACAATAAAAAGATGCACTAAATAACTAGATACAGACTTACATTCCCATAAATATAAAGGTCGATACTCAAAGTTAGTATTGACCTAGGCCATGAAAAAGTTTTCTGATGGAGATGCAGTCTTAATCTTGGATCCTGGGCTAGAAAAAAATCCTGCAAATTGATCTAGAAAAGATTCTTGAACTAGCCTTGCAATGTCGAGCTCCTCACAGACAAAATCAGCCCACCATGAGGAGGTGTGTCGAGGTCCTTCGACAAATTTGTATAAGTTGAGAATCCCAAATCTATCTCAACTTATACACATTTGTATGGAAAAAAAATACAGAAGAATCCATTAAAAATATTACAACTTGATGAATCACTAATACGAAAGAATTCATATGCAGATGGATTTGGGATTGAAGAAAAGAGAATAAGTTGAGAAGACATTTTCAATGATTTTTCAAGTTGAACAACGGCAACCATAAATCATCTCACCTTAATCACCAAAAAGTTGGGACGCATGTCACACATCGCCTATGAAATTTTTTTTTATGATAAAGACATTATCAAAGTATTGTTCTTTTCTAACAACAGTGTATTGTAATTGCGATCAATATATTAAATCTTGGTTTAATACAATAATTTTTGAACTCAATATAATTTTGTTCAGTTACAATTTAGTCGGTTGAAACAGCAATTTTAACACTTCAATGCTATTATTTGAGTGACTTAAAATAATTGTGAGTGACGATTTTCAAAATAAAACATTTATTTTGAAAAGTAATTATTATTATTATTATTATTATTATTTTACCGGATGCAATATGGCTTCAACATCATTATTTCGACCATTGAGTGGGCCCGTCATACATATTGAGAAATCAATTATATACAAGTCACTTGTCTCTTTCTTGGGGCATGATGATCTCCACCAACCACAAAAGAAAAGTGAAAACAACCACCCACGCACTATCAAATTTCAAATTTAAAAATGATCTACTTGATGACAAAATTTTGAAAAGATGACAAATTTTTAAAAGGAGAGTCAATAACAATTGCTTTCTACACACAATGTCCTTCCTTTATACCCATATATATTATATATATATAAGAAATATTTTTTATATTTTTAAAAAAATTATTCATCAATTATTTTGTAAGTCTCACCCCATGAATATAATCTCAACCTAAACTCTTATCAAACATCAAAAATTAAAATTAAAAAAAATATTTTATCTAAAAAAAATATATATTTTTCAAAGAAACAAACGGACTCATAATGTGAAATTTAAATTTATAATCTACTTTAAGACTTACATTTAACAAGAATCATAATGTGTAGTACTTTTTTTTTCTTAAATAGTGTAATAGATATAGAACGTGAGCAACATAATAATTATTGAGATCATTCATCATCAGTGCAAATAACTAAAGCAAAAAGTTAAGCAAAACATCAATAATGCATCACATAAGCATTATACTCAACAGTGGCATCACCGGACTTGGTGTCGAACTTGTGAGTCTTGACTTTAACATAACCACGAGCAAATCGGAAAAGTCCACTTCCTCCGATCACCGGCATTTCTCGAACCTTATTGAACACCGGGTTCCTTCCTAGCACGGTGATCGTGCTCCCATTATACTTGCCTTCAATAAACACGAAGTTCATAGCCATCAATAGACTAACCTCTTGTTGCGAAGCCGAAGTGTAAAACCCTTGAGCCCTACCGATCAATTTCGAGCTCAATTTGGGGCCCTCAGTCAATGCATCATCGATCATGTTCACCATTCCAAAGGCCGTCGACGAGTTGGCAACCGGTTGAACAATGGAAACCGCGGTAGGATTTTTGCCACCGAGGATGTCGTGCCAATAGAAACGAAAGTGGCTGAGTTTTTCTTTTCCTAGACTGATTTTCTCTCCTTCGATGGATTTTACGAAGCCATAATTCTCTCCGGTGGACGGAATTGCGAGGAAGGAAATGAGGGTGGAAATGGTTAGGAGGAGGAAAACTGGGGTTTGAGGAAGTCTAGCCATGAAGAGACTCTGGATGTCACTCCTGATGGAGGGAATAAAGTACATCGGACCATATATGTTGTGTCGGTTTAAGTAGTCTAAATACTGACTTTAAATGTATTGCAAGTCAGGAACTAGAAGAAAAAATGGATATTTTTTTTAGGGGGTTGCACTACTGTTATTATATTACAATTAATTACCAACTTTAATAGTGCAATCTAATTTAATTTAATAGCCAACAACTACAATGATTATACTTGAAACACAAGTGTTGAATGAAGCACTAGTGAATTTGAACACACACACATTGTCACATAGGTGTGAAAATGTGACTGAATTTTAATTATTGTCGTGGGTGGATCTAACTTTAACTTTTAGTAGAAATCAGGACATTAAAGTGGGGCTGTGCTGTCTTAACAGTGTGGACCATGTAACTTTGACATGGACCAATTATGGCAGGGCGTGTTGAGCCGTGAGGGATCTGGATCACACGGTTTTAAGGCATAGTTGGTCCATTTAAAAATTTAATAATTTAAAGTCCAACTTCGACTGATTTGTGTAAATGAAAAAAAGACATTATGTAATTAGTCCAACAGTCATTTCCTATCATTTACTCTTTGAAGTGCCTCAGAAGCAACTATTAGGGGTATTTTTTTTATTTTATGATATTGATATTTAAATTTGGACACATTTTATGTTTGAGACAGTTAATATTAGTTTGAAATAGTTCATAATGTATCAGATTTTTTTGGCCAAAACTCATATCACCAAATTGGTGATATTGTGTGTTTTGGTAATGTACTGGAGGAACTAAAACAAATTTTCAAATTTCTCAAAACAAAATTTTTGTTACCAAATATGGTTTCAATTTCTACCAAAAACATTCCGACAACAAAACGGTTGTTTTGATATTGACCAAAAATATAACGCTTAAAACATATCGCATGCCAAACGGACCCTTAAATGTTAAGATTTCATGATAACTTTTGTGTAATCACCATCTTGGTTATTAGTTATTTGAACACCATTGTTTAGAGTATAATGTTTGAACCATATTGTTTAGGATTTAATGTTTTAAAGTTTATTATCATGTAATATATACAGAAAGTTTTACATATAATATATCGTTTCTCATGTTTTGATCACAAATCACAATGTTTTTTAAAGAAGCAAGTTCAACCTATAGATGTTACACAAATTTGCACGGGACAAAAATTCTCTTTTATGCTTCATTTGATAGGATGGAAGAAAATTGAATAGAAAGGAGAAAAGAAGAGATGAATGAGACATTCTTAGTGAAGAGATTGTGTATTTTTTTCTTTTTGTTGGGTTGCATGGAAGAGAAGAGAACGAAATAATACCTTATTTTATTTGTTAAGAGAGGAGAGGAGTGAAAATGTTAATTATAAGGAAAGTTTTGTAATTTTAAAATATTTGTAATAACATTGCCCTTCTTTCTTCTTGTCTTTCATCCATATTTGGAGGGAAGAGATTGTTTATTTCCCTCTTTTTGTTTAGTTGGATGGAAGAGAAGAGATTGAGATAATACATTAGTTTATTTGTTAGGGGAAAAGAGGAATGAAAATGTTAATCATAAAGAAAGTTTTGTAATTTAAAGACATTTGTAATAGCATTGTCTTTCTTCCTTCTCGTCTTCCATCTATATTTGGAGGGAAAAATTTTTGTGAAGGAGGAAGGGTAACTCATCTATCATCTTTTCTCTTTTCTCCTTGCATCTTTTCTACCAAAAGAAGAAAGTTCGTTTCTTCTTTCTTATTTTTCCCCCACCCCTCTTCCTTATTTCTAACCAAACAGAGCATAAAGTTTTATTATAATCTATAATTTGATATCGTAATATATTTCTTTAGGTTTTTTGAAACCGGAAGTTATATTTTCACCACATTGGCACGTTTTTATGCAAAAAAGGAAATAAATATTACTTTGTATATTGATATTATTTATGAATTTAAGTTTTGTGTATTTAAGTTAATTTTTTAAAGTTGGGGCCAGCTATGGTTCAAAACGTTGGCATATCATCATGTGATTCCCTCCGTGGGAGGGAATTTGGATTTACACAATTTTTTTTAATAAGTATCGCCTCATGCTTTGTCACACTCTTGCTCTCACACTTTGCATGTGTTTTTGCTTTCATTTTCACTCTATGTCAGTCGTGTGACATTAATTTTACTATTTTTACGCTCTTGCTTTCACTTTACGTGACTTAGGTTGTGCCTTTGTCAATAGATATCGTATCCTTCCCAACACAAAAAAATATATATACTTTATTAATTCCGCATGTTATAAAATTCCCCAACTATATATATATATATATTATGTTTGTAAGTGTCGTAGCAAAGTGCTCTTACAATCCTCACGGGGAAATTCGAACCCTCGGGCTTTCACAATGGAAGGAGGGGACTAGTATGCTATAAAATTAAATAGTTAAAATTGATAAATTTGTATCATTATAGCAGTGAAATATCACTATTACAATGATGAGATTTAAAATAATGAAAATGATAAAAGTTTGATTGTTACCATTATTGAGATAGAACACTATTTGGAAGAAAAATAGTCTCAATTTTTGTAAAATTGTGATGTAGAACAATTTTATCAATTTTTTTCTAATTAAGATCGTTCACATCGTTTCAATTCGAGAAGATCCATTCTTCATTGAAACGACCTAATTAATTATTATACACTAACTTTAACTTTTAGCTTCCAATTATAATTCACCATTTTGATCAATACACACGGTATCTCTTGGTTCCGATACCGTTATATATTTACATCAATTTATACTAATATTTGTTTAAATTTATTATACCACAATTATAAATAATATCGCAACTGATATCACGATTGCCAATCATGCCATTCCACTCAGTGACATGGCTTCTCAAACTAAACGTGGTGGTATCAAGTATAGTGGGAGAAGACGTGTAATGAGAGTTTTGATTAACTTAAACAGAACAAGTCACAGAATCAAAGTGGGGTATGTTCTTTTTATTTGTGGACCCCACATTTCCCACCCTCAACAAGAATAACGTGGCTCATTCTTCCGCTGTCCTGTTTTTTCCTTCCTCTTTTTTTTCTTCTCTTCCCTTGTCCATTTATTTAATGCGGTTATCAAGCGACAGTACGCAATTTGTTTTAGTTGAAAGTTGGGTACAATTGGTAGGTAGAGAAACACAAAACAGGAGAGATGAAAATAGCTTTTACAGAGAAAGAAGAAAAGGATTGAGGATACTTTAGGGACCAGTTTGGTTGGAGGTCAATAAAAGGAAAAGAAAAAAAAAAAAAAGTAATGAAGGAAAATAAAATATTATGTTTGGAATGAATTTTTAAAAGAGAAGAAAGGAAACCGACGAATTTAAAATATTATGCATAATGTATTGGCTTTGTTAGCCTTTTAAAATTAGGAGGAATTGGAAGGAAAGAGAATGGAAGGCTAGTATTTTTAATGAAAATTTTGTTAATATCAAATTTATTCATATTTTTATAAGGATAATACTTAACTACTTACTCTTATGTGGTTCAATAATAAAATAACTTATCACATTTAATAATGAAATAATTCACACCTAAAAACACTATATACGTTTATTTAATAGTTGATCCGAGAAAGTAGAGAAATGTGTGGATTATTTTATTATTAAAGTAATGTGTTATTTTGTTATTGAATCACATGGGGATGAGTAGTTTCACCATACTCACCAATGAATAGCTAATCATTGTCCTTTTTTTATAAAAAAAAAAAACCTGTGAAAAAATTTATGATAATAAATTCATTAAAATAGTTTCCTTTTTATTCTATCTCAAAACTTACTATCATTTTATTTCTTTTTCTTTATTAAACAACTAGACATATTAAGTGGTTAATAATATCATCTCATTTCGTTTCATTTATTTTCTCTCTTTACTAATCTTATAATTCCTTTTCTTTCCTACAGTGTCAAACATAGCCTAGATGACATGAACCTTCCAACTCCAATTTTTGTTTTCACCTAAATATCCAATATTAAGAGAAAATTGAAATGTATATATATTTGTTGAATAAAATTTAGGTGACATTATTAGGCTACTAGTTTATGTACTTTGGGATATAATGGTAAAATAAAAATATCAATAATTTTTTTTTTAATCTGTACCAAATAAAACAAGAGATGAACGCTCTCTCTTTCTTCTCTCCATGTGAAATCTCTCCTTTCTCATTAATATTCCCCCATCATACCAAATGGATCATTAAAAAGGGAAAACAATCATCATGGAGTGTTATCAAAGTGAATGTGGCACTCATAATAGAGTACCCCCCCAAAAAAAAAAAAAAAAAAAAACACCAAAAATGAAATCTAACTTTCTATGAGTTGATTTTTTAATGTCTTTTTTTATTATAGTGGTAATGAATGAATTTTCAAATATACTCTTGTACGGTGAGTCAACATATTTTTATTACTTCAATACAAAGAGGGTAAATTAAGAATAAGTTTTCTTCAGTATTCTTGATAATGTGTCTATTATGATTCAAGAAGGTTTAGGTTTAAAAGCGAAGTGGGTGCCTAGAAACGGGAATAGTGTGGCTCATGAGGTGAGCAAGAAAGCACCTCTTAGTTGTAGAGCTGAGGAGGACCTAATTGAATGGGATGTGTGGCCTCTGTGGCTTGTAAGTGCTTTTTCTGACACTTTTTCTATTATAAAAAGGAAAAGAAAGAAATTGTAATGTGTATCTTATAAATGGGAAAATGAAACCTATTGCTAGTGGCACGTACGTTCAACCATTAAAAATTAAAATACTGATTGTACATTTTTGTATGTGTGTCTTGTAACCTTAAGGGAAGGATGAGTGGCTTGAACATTGGCACTCACACCACACCCAGAGTTGTGACCGCCTGAGCCAGGCCAAAAAATATTTAATTGTATTTTTTTGGTATTTGGTTGTCTTAATATATTTACAAAAGGAATTTATTTATCAATTTTCGACAATCTATTTTACACACGACCTTAACTTCAACCTAAATTCTTTTCAAATACCAAGAAATAAAAATAAAATAAAAATAAAAAATATTTTACGTCCAAACAAACATAATCTATGTCTGATTTATATTTATATTCCACTTCTTACAAGACATCCATTTAACAAGTATAATGTTTTTTCTTTTCA